AATTAAATAATACTATTATTTGCTACTATCATTTTAATATTATTACTTAATTTCATAATAGTTTAAATGAAAATAATGTTTTGAATTGTAGTATATATTATAACACCTTTCAAATTATTACTTAATTTCATTTATTATTTTAGAAATCCTATTATCTAGCAATTATTTTACAATTATTATCACTGTATTATTATTCTCGTTGAATAAATTTAATGAACACAACACGAAATTAAATTAGGATAGTACGAGACTTTATAATAATAATATAGTGAAAGAGAATGAAAGACGGTGGGGTCGAATTAGTGAAAACCAGCTTTAAATAGGTGTTATATATAGAAATTTCAGCAAAACTTTGCTAATATTAAAGGTGGGAGAATGTGAATTATTTTATTCGATTGTGTTCCATGCTAGTGCTGCGCTTGCAACGAAGTGAAGTGGAATGAAGTGAAGCGGTATGGAGCACTAAGTGTGAACTCTCTTAAATGGTCCGCGCATAACGGCGTGAGAAATGGTCATGTTTTGACAGTCGACTGTTACAATTTGAAACTTACTCGAGTTGTCGACGCCACAGAAACTCATGACCAACATGCAAAACTTAGTGTATTAATAATATTCTCGGTTTCAACAATTCTTGCCATTTCTCAAAGATTTTTCAACTACTCACTAAAGAATTACCACTTAACTAAAAACTTCACTATTATTAAGTTTTTGGAAAAATTGCAGTAAATATCCTATCTTGTGTTATTGTTGCGAATGATAAAATAAACTTAGCAAACGAATAACAACTTATCGATTAGATTAGAAAAAAATTGTCAGCATAATTTTGAATTCTTCTTGTAATTTTTATATAAGTATACTTTAGAAAAATATTTTCAGATATTGTTTGGTTCAAAGAGAATTTAATTTTTAGAAATAATTTTAGGAAGAAAACACATAATTACTAAATAAAAAAAAATGTTTCCATCTAATCTAAATCAAATTTTTTCATTTTATCAAAACTCTTAATAATCAGAAGCAAAAATTTCCTACTTGAACGAATTGTTTCATTTTAATTCGTTTGGAGTTTTTCAATTTATCTTTACAACACTGTATTTGTCAGTTGACAAAGGTAAAAACAAGAACAATTGTGCTTATTATTCTGTATACATGTTGAACTTTTGTTCCTTGTGTGTTTCATAACTGCAATTAAATTTCTTTAATAATAAATCTTAAAAATGTATATAGGAGATAAATACACTCGAGTTAATGACTAATAATAAAAAAAATTTACTAAAAACTTTTCCTTATAAAAAAGACAGATAGCGTATTGCTGTTTGAAAGACTTTGGCAACTTTCTATCAGTGAAATACGAGTTTGAAAGAATTGAATTTTTTTCAAATGGAGGCCTGTCAGAGAAAGTTTCCTGATAAAAAAAAACACCAAAATCGTACCGAGACGAATTACAACGAAGTACTGCGAGTACTTTACGAGCACTCGAGCAATTACACTCTGCCACTGAACGGCCGAACTTTATTGTCGGAATTCCTAATTTATGACCCACCGACCGCATGTGGGATAGTTTCGGAAGTAATAGACGATTGCTGTGGATGGATGCGGTTTGCTACTGTTTTTTTTCGCAATTTTTTTTTTATTCCATCTTCTCAACTTGTTTCGTTGTAGCAATGAATTTTGAAAAATCTTGCAAAAACATTGTTATTTGTGGCAATATCAATTTTTTCATTCATAAAAAATTCTTGTCATAATACATATATATACTGTAACGTGGATTTTTCATCTTTAAATAATAATGAGATCGATTCAGTAGGAAAACAACTGAGAAATAATAATTGGTGAATCACCGCCAATTTGACGACGACGATGACGCCTCGTCTCCCAATTCAACATTTATTACATTTTAAAATTTTATTTCACAAAAGAATAGATGAAAAATCCAACTACACTCTACGAACACCAGGATGAGAATAAAAATGTCTGACGAGTCAAACTCAAAAGCGTCGCTAAACAGCGGTCTCTCTTCTTGGTGTCATTGAGATCAATTAATATTCAATAATATAATACCTGCGATCGATAATCAATACTCGATCGTCGCTAATGCAGATCCCTGCACTATCCGATGTTAATTGATTGATGCGTGACGTTCATAGGAAATTTGCTGCCAGTAATAATTTGACAGATCGTCAACAAAATAGCACCTTCGTCTTTATGGTGTTCTTGAATACTTGTACATATTGTAAAAAGAGGGTCATACAAAAGAAGTATGCTATGAACGTCAAAAATTAATAAATAAAGGTCAAAGAGAATAACAAGAAAATACAAAAAACTAAAGTCGGACTCAACATGGGGGTATGGTGATGAGTCAAAAGGTAAAATAATACCCGAAAAAAGAATCGTGTTAATTTATAAATATTAATAGATTAAAAGTTCACCAGAAATCGAAATTATTAATGAAAATTTTAATAACAATAAATTAAAAATTGTAGTACATATAGAAGCAGAATTATCGCCAAGTGTTATAGAATTGGAAGTGCTAAGCGCAACTTTAGAAGAAAATTACGTAAGAAAAAAAATAAATAAAAATTTAATGAATATATTTAGAGAGGATATGTATATATATATTCTCTTTCGCTGATTCCGGATTTAATTGAAGTTGAAAAAGAGAATAAGAAATCTTTTCCTTCCAGCAAAAGGAGTCTCCAAATTTTGAGAGAATTTCCCACCCTATTACCATTTGTAGATCCCTTTTTTCGAACAATTCCTTAAGGGCACAAGAGTGGAATTACAAATAGCGACAGTGCTACGAAGATTTCGCTACGTAGCGATTCAAAGCTACATTCACTTTAAAAAATTTTCTTGCTATCGGGTGACTAAAAAAATGGTATCATTTTGATAAATTTAGGTTGGTATAATTGTTTTTCTGTGTATTTTTTTTCTCATATTTGCTTTATTTTATAATTTAACCATTTTTTTAGAATCAAGAATGTAACAAATTCATAAGGATTTCCCACGATGAAGAAATGAAGCAATTAAAAAAAAAATCTAAAAGCCTGACAAATTTTTCAAGTGTAACACTTCAAATCTCAAAAGTTATAAAAAAGACAATTTGAGGCAACGATAATTATTAATATTATTATATTAACACTTCTATTTCTAAATTTTAACCTTAAATTTTTTATAATTAATAATTAAAAACTAAATAAAACATAATAATAATAAAGAAATAAAGAAAACATTTATTTTAAATTTCTATCCTTACAAAAAATCAAGAAAATATTTCAACTTTATCCAATAATAATAAACTATTTTTTTTCTTTTTTATATTAATAATTAAATAGAGAGATTCCACCTTCATGTTGTATTTGTTTGCTACGTAGATAAAATATTTTAGGAAATTGACATGAATTCTATGTCAATGGCCTTATCTAGAGGGGTTATGTTTATATTTTCTTCTAAATTACCATCCATCACTGGAGTGGGATTACGAATAGCAACAGTGCTACGAAGATTTCGCTACGTAGCGATTTGAAGCTACATTCAGTTAAAAAAATTTTTTGTTACTAGGTAACTCAAAAAAATTGTATTAGTTTCACAGATTTAGGTTAGCACAATTGTTTCACTGGTTAAATTCAAAAATAGAAATTATATTATGAGTACTTTTTAAAGCGGAAAGTATGAAATTAAAAATTATGGATTCAGGTTAAAATTATTCGACTAATCAAAATGTTTAATCAAATGATTTTTTGTTAATTATTTTATTGTAAAGTAACAATTGGCAAACATGAAGTTAGAGAATTGTTTCCAGCAGTGGGATTAAGAATAGCGCTAGTCGCTATGTAGCGCTTTTCGTTATTTAGAACTAAAAACTTACATATTTTTAGTGAAATTTGTTCCAAATCATGACCAAAATAAAATACCGTTGACAGTTTCTTCAAATCTTAAACTGCAAGATGGTAATTTAGAATAAAATATAAACATAACCCCCCTAGATAAGGACATTGACATAGAATTCATGTGGAATCAATTCTCTAACTTCATGTTTGCCAACTGTTAGTTTCAAATAAAATAATTTATTAGTGACGAAATAAATTATATTTTAATATTGGAAATAACCTATTAATTTAATAAATAACAATTCTAAAAATAAATTATCTAGTTTAATGTTAAAATAATTTATAAAGGAAATTAATTTTTTTAATTTAATTTAATGAATATAAATTAAGAAAATTAATCTTATAGCAAGAATTAAGAACAATAATTAATAATTAAATTTTTTTCTCATTTTAGGCAATGACTAATAGAAACTTTTAATCGTATGAAAAAGATAATAAATATAAATGCAATAAATATTTTATTATTAATATAAAAAAGAAAAGTAGATAGTTTATTATTATTGGATAAAGTTTAATTATTTCCTTAATTTTTTGTAAGGATATAAATTTGAAATAAATGTCTCCTTTTTTCTTATTTATTATTATTTTTAATTTAGTTTATAATTATAAAAAATTAGAGGTTTAAATTAAATGTATTTAGAAATATAAAAGTTAATATAACAATAAATTATAATATTAATTATTTATCGTTGTCCCGAATTGCTTTTTTTATAATTTTTGAGATTTTAAGCGTTACACTTGAAAATTTTTAATGGCTTTTAGAAATTTCTTTTAATTGTTTCATTTCTTCATCGTGGCAAATCCTTATAAATTTGAGACATTCTTGATTCTAAAAAGAAATGGTTAAAATATAAAATAAAGCAAATATGAGGAAAAAATACAAATTCGAAAAATTTGGTTATTAATAGTTTAGACTAGCTTTGAGCTAGTTAATATATTTATAATAACATTTTTAATGATAAAACCAACCTCTAATGGTACATTAGACATTTTTTTACCACTGCTGCTGGTATTGCTTCTTCTAAATCGACTTATTAAATTGTATTAAAGTTAGATATAGATCATAAAAATTTAAATATATTTTATTTTTAAAAATTTGGAATTTTAACTTACATCAGAGTCAGATTCTGGTATTCCAATTTCTTTCGTTACGCCATCCCCTAAAATGCAACTTTTGCCTTTTACAGCCAAAAGTCGGTCTTCCAACCCCGTTAGACTAATATTCGCGTTGCTGAAATTGCCTCTTCCAGTGGTTCGTTTGCACCGTTTGATATTAGCTAATTTTCCTTTAGTGTTCGATACCCATCGCGACAGAACCTGTCAAATAAATTCTTTTTAATTGTTATACAATTAAATATATTAATTATTAAGTATATGAGGAAAATTGAATCTTAAAATGTATACTGTTAATAAACAAATTAAATAAAATGGCCTTTTTGTTTTCGAGATATTAATTAATTAATGTTATTAAAACATAAAATATTTTACAAACAAATAAAGTCACCGTGATTTTAAAAGTCCCAAGTAGCACCGAATATTACAGTAATATTACTGTAATATTAAAATGTCCGCCTCATGGTAATATTACCGGTTAATTTTACAGTAATATTATAGTAACATTACAAAATATTACTGTAATATTACACAAAATTTCAAAAACATTTAAAACTATTTGATTGATTAATTCTTTTTTTTGTTATAAAAAACTTTGAAATTTTTATGTATTTCAAATAAACGTGTAATATTACAGTAATATTGAGGCTGAAATTTTAATATTACTGTAATATTACGTGCTACTTGGGTTACCAATTGACAATTTACGTAATTCCGCATCCAATGTTCTCATTTTTACAATTGGATCACTTTAAAAAATTTTCCTCATATTTAGAAAAAAATTTTACTTTTTGCCATTGAGCTGGCGATCTAGAATTTCTTTCTGTATTCATTGAATTTAATTCTTTTGAAATATCTGCCCATTCTTTATTATATTTTTGCCTTGACAAAACTTTGGTAAATTTTTTTGTCAACAACGTTGAATTTTCCTCAATGTACTCCAAAATTCTCTGCTTCTGCTCAGAGGTGGCACGACTTAAACGTCCTTTTGATTTTTTTTTTTTTTGAGAAACTGAAAATAGTATATTATGTGGCAAGCACGTAAAGTAGTACTTTTTAGATGAGGATGTTATTTTCAGTACGAGCTGTCGTTAGTGCGACGTAGGTGAGACGAAGACGAGCCGAAAGCGAGCCAAGTCGAACCGAAGTCGCACAGACAGCGAGTATTAAAATCATCCGAACCTAAAAATTACAACGTGCGAGCCACATACGCTATTTTTTTCGCCATTGTTATGAAAAAGTGAAACAATTTTAAAGAAATTTATATATAGGGGAATAGTGTTAGGGTTGGACACAGTTTTGGTTTTTTGTTTATAAATATTTTGTTTAGATAAATTCAATCAATTGTGGTATATGGGTGGAAAGATCTACAAAAGAGGAACATTTTTGCTGTGGACCGTAAATTGATTGGTCCAAAATTAAAAAAATTATAAACATTTAAAAAAAAAATCTAGTTAGGGTTGGACTTTTCAGTCAGGGTTGGACACTTTTTGAAAATCGAAACGCATTATTGATAAAAACGTAAAATATCATTTGTAATGTTTTTTATTCTTATTTTTTCATGTTTATTTTTACTTATTGTTTACAAATTCATAATTAATATAGGTGTCCAACCATAACTGTATAAAGTGTTCAACCCTAACTAGAAGCATCATTTTCGAATTGTGCTAACCATAACCAGACATGTGTCGCGATTCGATTTTTCACTTTTTTTCTTCTTAAATTATGTACCCTACAATACATTCAATAAGCTTACCTTGCCGAATTCTTGCTTTTTTTACACATTTTTTAGGTTTATTCACAAGTCAAACAAAACTTTTTTTGTCTCGTCGATTGCACCGAAGTCACAGGAGACGCTACTTTTGATTCTCCATAAATGTAATGCCACAAAAAGTTAGGTTACACTACTAGAAGATTCGTCACGTACTCACACAGGTGGCGCTAGTGTTCTTATTTAAAAAAAGCCAAGTGTCCAACCCTGACACTATTCCCCTATATATTATATATTATATATTATAAATATATATATATATATATATTTATATAATATATAATATATGTGAAATAGTATATAAAATAAAATAATAAAAATTGATAAATAAAATAAAAGCAAAACAAAAATTATGCAAAAATTAACAACTGCCTAAAAAAGACTTTATAGGGCAGTTTTCTACCTAAAAAAGTCTTTTTTAGGCAGTTGGCCCAAACTGCCTTAAAAAGTGCTACTTTATCTACCCAAAACAGGCACAGAAAAGACACTTTTTCATGTCAATGGCGAAAAAATATTTATTTTTATCATCTTTTATTTTACGCAACGCTTTATTAGTAGTGCAAGTAAATATTCAGTCAGACTGTCTAAAATTTTGTAATTACATATGTCACTTTTTAAAATATAAAATGATTTATATTTGAAGGAATTTTGGAAAACAAGTAAGTATCTATTTTTATTAGTATTATATATTCGTATTATTATTATTCTTTTTTACTTATATTATTAAAATAATAGTAAGTATAAATTAAATTATTTATTTGTTAAAATTTGGTAGCAAATTTTATTTGCCGTATAATTTAAAAAAATTACTTTTCTCCAGATTATTATTGACAATTCGTGACAATAAAAATAAAAAATATGTATATTTATGTATATTTTTAAATTACCTCGTTTAGATGAATCTCTTACACATTCTAATTCATCTGTCTCAGATTCAAATGAATTATTTTCAGAATTTGAATCGTATGAATTTTCGAAATTCATTTTTTAAATATTTTGTTATGATATTTCAAACAAACTAAAATTCCACACATATTTTACAATTTAACTGTTATACTTTTGTCAAATTACATTCCTATTTAATTACTATAGTGATAACGATGCTGCCATTGTTTTAAACAAGAATTATTTTATACAAATTCGTTTTTAAAGTAAAACAAATTTGAAAATTTTATATTATACTTACTTTCAAGTTTTTAATGTAAAATTTCACCAAAACGAGGTAATAATTCCACTAAAATTTATAACTACATATTTAAATATTTTTTTAGAATTAACGTTGCATACGTGCATTATTTTATAGTGTCACTGTTTTCATGAATAATTTTTCTTTTCTTAGATGAGTCTAGGTTATTTTGGATTGGCAATCTTAGAAAATAATAATGAGAGATTGAAAGCAGTACGAAGAAGTGAATATCGTCAAGTGCATTTATTGCATGTTCATTTACGAAATGACAGCGATCCATTTTCTCTTCCCGACAGAGGATTTGTCGATTTGTTTCGTGTGAGCAAATATATGGTGCAATATTTAATTTTAACATTAAGCCCTTACATGAGACATAGTGCACGAGTTAATAGAATTGCACCTGAATTGCGAATTTTTGCGACTTTGATTTTTTACGGGACTGGTTCGTACCAAAGGGTGACGAGTCAGTCTTACCTTCCGACTATGTCCCAGTCATCAATAAGTATTTCCATCCACGAAGTAACAAATTTAATTAATCTTTTCGTAGTCGAAGAGTTTATTAAATTTCCAAGGAGTCAAATTCAAAAACAAAAGATTTCGCGAGAATTTGAAATAAGTGCAGGATTTCCAGGAATAATTGGCGCCGTGGATTGCACATTTATTTCAATTTTAAGACCGCGATATAAAGAGCACAATTACGTGAATCAACATCAGCAACAGACAAAAAATGTGCAAATAGTAAGTATTATATAATTACAGTACCGTCCAGAGGTATCAGGACGATTACACGCGACTCTCTGAAAAAACATGCCATCACTTTTTCAATCATATTTCTGCAACAAAAGGAGATACAAAAAAAACTCAAAAACGGTTAGAAGGCTTATTAAATTTTGAATAAAATAAGCCATGTTTGAAGCCATTCCGTTAATAATTTTTTGAGTTGTAGAGTGAGAAAGATGAAAAAAATATTATCAAATTTTCTAATTTTGGTCTCTTGACTTCAACATTTTCAAAAATCTAGAAAAATTTAGATAAAATTTTTTTAAAAACACAGAAATCTTCGCTAGAATTTCAGCTTTAAAATAAATTTTAGAAAATTAAAAAATATTAATCCGTCATCAAATTATAATTAAAAATGTGAAGCCGTGTTGCGCCCGATCCATGCTTTGAAAATCAATTGTGACGACTCGATTCCTGCTTCGCGCGGGAGCAAGCGGGAGAGAAAATAGGGTCGGATTTATGCAAGAACGATGAAATTTCGAGTTTCTTTACATACAATATTTACATGTGCTACTGATTCTATTGCAAAGGTTGTCTGACTTTTATTTTACTTTTACTACTGATAATATTTTAAATATTGTCTGACTAAAAATTTCTTTTTACTACTTATAAAATTTGCAAACATTTCCACGTGGAAAGATTCCCAGGAAAATGCTTTTGGGAATTTCCGACGGTATTTTGATTGGAATATTGCAAATTTTTTCAAATATTAATTTTTACATAACTATATTATAACATTCTTTGCATTTTTTATTATTATTATCATATGCTAATAATAGCAAAAAATGCAATATAGTTATGTGAAAATTAATATTTAAAAAAATTTGCAAAATTTCAAGTCGGAAATTCACAGGAGCACTTTCAATTTCAGACAATTTTTAACTAAATTTAATAGTTTTAATTAAATAATAATTTAATTAATTAAAATTAAAATTTAATTAATTAAAATTAAAATTTAATTAATTAAAATTAAAATTTAATTAATTAAAATTATAATTTAATTAATTAAAATTATAATTTAATTAATTAAAATTATAATTTTGCAGGTTTGTGATTACAATTTGAGAATCTTAGACGTCAAAGCCCGCCACGCGGGAAGTACACATGATAGCTATATTTGGCGAAATTCCTCTATTAGAAGAGAATTAGAAAAAAATATCAGTGCAATGAAGGTTGGAAAGTTCTTGCTGATTCTGCATACCCTACAGAACCGTGGACCCTAACTCCCGATTTGCATGCACCTGTTAATACTCCCGCTTGGAGATACACGCAGACCCATGCGAGAACACGCAGTTGTGTCGAAAGATGTATTGGATATTTAAAAACTAGATTTCGGCGCGTGCTTGAAGAAAGACTTTTAAGATACTCGCCTATTTTCGTTGGTTCAATTTTCAACGCTTGTTGTGCGTTACACAACATATGCAAGCTTGGTGGATTGGCAGATTCTCCTCAAGAAAATTTACGATTTGCGAACCACCCACCAATAAGGCAACAAAATAGATTACGCGCGCTAAGTTTACGTGTTCGACAGGGAATTATTGAAAGATATTTTTAATAGTTTTCCATTTAATATTTTTAAATGAAATTGTTTGTAATTTTTTATAGTTGCATACGTTTGTTTAAATTTGATTATCTTATTATATTTTTTTATTACTATTATTTTATTATAGCATTGTTTTTAAATATGAATAAAAAAGGTTAAATTATCAGACATAACTGAAAAATTTGTTTATTGAAAATAATTTGTTATTTTTGAAATTAAAAAATATGTTTTTTTATTACCAGAAATAATAGAATTGGTATTTAAGATTATAAGACATTTTAAAAAAGTTTAATAAAATCAAATCAAAATTTTTTTATTTATGAAATATAGCAGTTTGAAACAATAGGTTGCTCTCTGCGCTAACTTCCGGTCGAGCGCTCGGCGAGTTCTTCTTACCGGCCTTTTTTTATATTCATTTATTTATTCATTTAATCAATATTCATTTGTTAATTTGTTAATCTGCTTCGGTCAAGTCCATTAGCTCACAACGAATTTTACCATGGCTGCAAGATGTAAGTAATAACATTTAATTTGTGTGAATAAAATTAAGAATTATTATAAACTATAATTGAATTGTTGAGAAAAATATTAATAAAAAATTTCTTTTTCAGCGACAAAAAAACGTCTCCAACGTATCACTTTTCGGCATCAAGAAAAAATGATAGAGTGGTTAGAGGGTAACCATCTGCTGTTGATCAAGAAACCTAGCGACGCTTTTCAAAAAGCAAATTACGATGAGCAAAAGGAGAAAACTGACTCAAGTTTTAAATAATTTAAATGAGTCGAGTGCTAGAGACGAAGAAAAATGGCAGAAGGTAAATTAAAATATATATTTATTATTTAAAAATAAAATTTTTCGTTTTTCGCCTTGAAAAATAATAATGAAGTTTATTAGTTTTCTTTATTGTATTATATTTTTACTAATTTTAAAAAATTGCTTAAAGTTGAAAGTTATAAAATAATATTTTTTTTATAATTATTTATTTATATTTCTTATTATTATTTATTTTAATATTTATGTTTATTAATTTACTATTATAATTAAGTGATTAAATTAAATAATTATTAAATTAATTAACTACTAATTTAAAAAATAATTAAGGGGTTGTTCATAAAATACGTAACGCTTTTAGGGGGAGGAGGGGGGTGAAGCAATTTTTACGGTCAGCCAAAAACATGGCGCTAATGTATGTAATTGTGCGTTACATGGGGGGGATGGGGGGGAGTTGAAATTTCTCAAAAAAAGCTTTACGTATTTTGTTAACAGCCCCTAAAACATTACTTTTGTATTTCATATTTCTTTGTTTTATTTATTAATTTTGGTATTGTTAATAATTATTAAAATTTCTAATAGGCTTTACAGTCATGGCTAGCGAAAGCTACAGAAAAAGCGACGAAAGATGTTCAACTGAATGAATTGGAGACGAAATTGCTTTGTGCCGTAAATAGAGAAAGAAAAGCGGAAGTGGGAAAAAAACCAAATGTAAATAAACAACTTCATTAAAATAAAAATTATACTTTTTAACATAAAAATTTTAATTCACTTTTTCCTTTTTAACAGTTGAAACCAAATGAAAACGAAGAAGAGGAAAATGAAAATGAAGAAAAAATTAAATTGACCCATCAGCAGATGAGCGATAATGAAGAGGAGGTCCTGCCAATATCATCAGATGATGATAATGACGATGATTTTGATTTCGAAACTCCACCACCAAAACGAACTAAGGTATTAAATTATTTTTAAAATTTAAAACAGAATTTTATTTCTTATTAATTTTTATTTATTTCAATTTTTCTTGTTAATTTACTTAAGTTCCTCTTATCACTTTATTAAAGTTTTATTTGATCTTATTTTTATTATTTTGCCTTTTTCAATTTATGTCAGCAATTATCAAAAAATATTATTTTAAATTAAATAAATTGTTTTTTTTAATTGTATTTTTCTAGTTAGTATTGATAATTCATTTATTTCTTCTTCTTTATTTTTTAACTTTTGCATTATAGATCATCGACTTTGAAAAAAAAATCGAAACGGAGATGGAGGATGGCAACGAAGCTACAACTTCGAAAAATAATGGAAAAGAAAAAAAAATACAAGTTCCTGGAGACGAGCAGTGGATTTGTTTGGGTGGAGGTGGCTAACATACGTATGTATAGCTGCTACTTCTCGCCGAATGATCCACTGACAGATTTCGAATCCGATATACAGGACCTCGAATCAAGCCTACGAGATTCCAAGTTGGATGTTCTCGTCACTGGCGACTTTAATGCAAAGTCTCCAGAGTGGGCCGAGACAAGGCTCGATAAAAGAGGAATTCCGATCGATGAAATGATCTCCAGGAACGACCTAGTAGTTGTAAACCGCAGGAAAAAAACGTTTAGGAGTGATGCGATCGGATCCATTGTAGATCTAACGATCGCATCCTCCAAAATATGTAGCCGCATATGCGACTAGTGGGTCTCTGAGGATTATACCGCAAGTGACCACCAGTACATCGAGTTCTCAGTCTCAGTGGGAGACACACGAGGAGGCAGAAGACAGGAAGCTCCTAGTCGAAAAAGCCCCTCGTGGAACACTAAGAGACTCGACAAGGAGAAGTTCGGCCAGTCCCTTCTAGAAGCCCGCTTAATTCAAGAGTTGGGCTGGGTAAGGAGAGCCTGTGGACAATGCAGAGCACACCCTCTTTGCCTGCAGTCGATGGGACTTGGAGAGGCACGCCATATTCACCGGTGTAAACGCTACAGTTACACCGGAAAACATGGTAGCGCTGATGATCCAGTCCCAGGAAAACTGGCTGCTCATCGAGACCTTTATCAATCTCTGTTATGATGAGAAAGAATCTCGATGGCCGCAGATAGGCGAAATTGACAGTCTCCATTTTATATTTATTTTTTCATTTTAATATTTATTTTGTCTTTTTACAATTTTCTGTTTATTTATTTTAGTCTTTTTACAGATTTATGAGCTAAAAGAGATGCATGTGGAATCAGTAAAAATTTTTAAAGAAATTTCCGATACTCTCTCCAATTTATTAAACGTTTCTTTTCAAACTCTAGAGGTTTTGAAACAATACATTGGTGGAGACAATATTTAATATTATTTAATATTTTAATACAATTGTTTTTAAAAATAGTTCGTCAAGGAATTTGTAATTTGATGTTGCAGAATAAATTTTTCGCATTATTCCTAATAATTATATTTTATTATTGAAATATAAGAATTTTTAAAAAAAAAATTAACAATTTTTTTTCAGAGAGTCAAATTAGAATGTTGATAAAATAAAAGAAATGATACGCAATTTTTTTAATAATAATATTAATAATATTTTAAAAATTTAGCAAAATTTATTGTTTTTTATCATTATCATTGTCTGAAATCTTTCACAACATTTTTTTATGAATTTTGTGGTAAAATTTTCATTGTTACTAAAAGAAATTAATGTCAAAATAAATTTTTAATTTTCTTTTGACACATATTCTAATATACACTCTTATAAAAATTATTTTAATATTATAAGTCAAATTTTTTTTCTTCAGAACAATTTTTGCATTAATAAAATGTAAGATATACATTATATTTTTCGGAAATTAAACCAACATGAAAGAAAACAATTTTTTTAAAATTAATTGTAAATTACGCTTTTTTGTAATATATTTGTTTTAAACAATCTAGAAATTTTTTAAAAACGTGAATTTAATTCACAAATTTTAGTGGACACCTTATTATTGTTAGTTGATAAAAGTGCATACATTTTATATTATACATATACATTTAATTTTTAGAGCAATGTGTAAACTATTTACAAAAATAAGTAATCTAAAGTTTTTTTCAGTAATATCTTCCTAATTATTTTTTGGTTTTCGCAATTGTAAACAATTATTTGATTAATAATTTTTATTATTCGAGTAAATATAACCAGAATCCATAATTTTTAATTTATAACTTTCCGTTTTAAAAAGTACACATAATATAAATTTTAGCTTCGAAATTTACCAGAAAAACAATTGTACCAACCTAAATCTGCCAAAATGATACCATTTTTTTGAAACACCCGATAGCTAGAAAATTTTAAAAAGTGAATATAGCTTTGAATCGCTACGTAGCGAAAACTTCGTAGCGCGGTTGCTATTCGTAATCCCACTCCAGCTTCGTATCGTATATATTTGCTACGTAGATAAAATCTTTTAGGAAATTGACATGAATTCTATGTCAAAGGTCTTATCCAGTGGGGTTATGTTTATATTCTCTTTGGAATTACGATCTTGCAGTTTAAGTTTTGAAGAAACTGTTAACGCTGTTTTATTTTAGATATCATTTATAAAAAATTTCACTAAAAATAAGTAAGCTTTTAACTCTCAATAGCGAAAAGCAATACATAGCGACTAGCGCTATTCGTAATCCGACTACAGAAGGCCGACTAACAAGATTCAATTTGATCTTAATAATAATTAATATTATTTTAAAAAAATAATGAGATCGATTTAATAGGAAAAGGACTCACAATATATAACTGGAGACTCACCGCCCATTTGACGACGTCGATGACACTTCGTCCCGAAAAATTATAAATTTATCACATTTTAAATTTAATTTCACATAAAGGCACAAAACCAACTTTACACTACGGACACCAGAATGAGAATGAGAGTAAAATAGCTGACGAGTCAAACTTAAAAGCGTCGCTAAACAGCGGCCTCTCTTCTCGGTGTCATTGAGATCAATTAATATTCAATAATATAATAACCGCGATAGATAATCGATATGCAGTCTTCGGTAACACAGATTCCTGCACTATCCGATGTTAAATTGATTGATGCGAGAAATTTTTAAGAAATTGACTGCCAATAATAATTTGACAGATCGTCAACAAAACAGCAATTTCGTCTTTCTGGTGTTGTTGAATATTCGTGACTCTCATCCAAATATATATGCACCTAGAAACTTTTCTCATGATGACTTCTAATTTCAATGATAGATAGTGATATCCTCAACATCTTTGGGACCCGGCGAGAACCCTCAATGCCTCGCGAGAGTTTTCATAACAGAACAAAAGGACAATTCAAAATCGAATTTTATTTATTATAGTTCTACTATTAATCTGACGACTTTGGCAACTTGGTTTGTTAATACCTGAATTTTATTATTAAAAGAAAACGAAGTGAGTATTATAAGAAAACCATTCTTATAATTTATAATATTTTACAGCCATTATGACTGGATTCCCACCCTGGTATCGTTTATTCACAAAATAATTTATTACTTTTTAAATCATTTGTACGCTGCAAAATGCCGCGTTACATTACATAATGAATGTTTGCTTTTATTTTTTTAAAAAGAATTTTAACTTTTTTCTAATAAGTATTAACTATATAGTTGCACTTAAAAGAATAATTGAAAGTATTATTAAAACATTTTTTAAATTTATATTAAAATGGTCTTTAAATTAATGTTTTTTAAAAAAATGTAATAAGTGCATAAGTATGGAGAATTTTTTTTTATATTTATTGAAAGTCAATCTAAATGCAATAGATGGTTAAAATGTATGAGAATACAATTTATTATAGCAAAATCTTTTTGAGATTGAAAAGAGAACAAATCATTGGCCGTCATGTAATGCAAACATTGAATTTTTTTTCAATCTTTGCAACCGACCGTTAAATTTTTTATAGTGCTTCGAGCAATAAAAGTTTTATTAATGTAACCCGTATGCTTTGAATTCCCCACTCATGAATTTCAATATGCATATATTCTGCGCTTCTTTAATTGGGATGCATGCAATGTAAAGAAACTAAAAAGACGTTTCTCTCTTTTTATTTTACCAACCATATATCTATAAGAAATTTACATATAAACGTGTATTTAATTTGAATAAAATGATATTCGTTTTTAAATGGACTCAATTTTTTTTACAATAATATAAAAGTTAAAAACGAAACTTCTTCAATCTTTGTACGTCAGTTATCAGTAGTGAAAATGCAATTGAAAGAAAAAAAAATTTAAGTGGAAAAAAATAGTTTATAAGAAATAAAATTTAATAAAATACAAACTAAAATTCAATAAATGCAACTTTTAAAAACTTTACACTTTCATTGAATTAAAAAAAGATATTGGAAAAGTTCTATACATATATCATAAGTTTATAAATTAATCAAGTTTAATAATTAATACAAATATCAGATCATTCTCTCTTTCTACCAATATAATTTATTTTACATCTCGAAAATGAGAAGTATTTTTAACTAAAAATTAGAACGGATGCATAATCTTTTTAAAAATTTTTTTATTCTATATCAATTTTTTTTCAACGCGTAATAGAATATTTTCCTGTTGAATAATTCAAATGCAGAGTCAGAAGAGGGTAATCAGAGGGAGTAACAAGGTTTGTTTGCATCGATCGAGACCATTGCAAAGTCCAAACCATGTCAGATATTCTTTACTTGCAACGTGTGAAAATTGAATTTATCTCCTTGCAATCAGCTACGCTTTAGATGTCTAATACTATTTTGCCAGGAGCATCACAGGAAAATACATTTTATTCCGTTTGTAAATGTAAGCGAGCAAGCTTTTCACTACAAAATTGCATGTTTCTCGCTTTCCTATCTAAACACTGTGTAATTCACCGTAGAAACAGCAACGTAGAAAGAATCAAATTTCCCGATGAAAGATGTATATATACATATATATAAATATATATTCAGAGGAAAATAATTATTCATGCAAAGCAGTAAATTAAAATTAATAAAACTAATATTTTAATCATTATTTATAAAAAGAAAAAGTTTTTTTTATCAAATTTTGTTTTTAAATGTAAATTAAATTTTTTTAATGTTTATTCTCTAATGAATTGAGAGATAGCAGTGCTATGTCTGACCGTACACTCATTATACTACTGATTTTACGATGTAACAGTTTTATTGTCTGTTTTACGTTTTCTTTTATTAATTTTTGATTGTTTAAACAAAATTCATGAAAAAATTTAAAGTTCTTTTGTACAACAATAATTTTGCTGACTTTTTTGTTCGTTTAAGGGATTATGACACTCTAGAGGCCGAAAAAATAGGTGTTTTTGTAAATTTCTTTTAAAGAAACTATGAAGCCAATCAAAATTATGATCTGTAGACTTTATTGTACATTTATCGAAGTGTAAAAAAAATTATTATTATTAAATTTCATGGTGTTTTGCAGCACTGTAGCCGATTTCCGTAATCTTGTTCATGGCGGGTTGGGTCCACGGCAGCACCAACCGTTCTTATAAATTTTTAATTATAATTATCAAAATTGTTTCTTATTTCTTATTACAGTAGCTAAAGAAAAGCGTAGGATTTTTTGGATATATTGATTTTTGTCCGAATGGCGTACTTCTAAAAATTAGCTATGAAAATTGGTCAGTAAATTGTTAATAACAAATTAACTATGCAATTAAAAAAATACTATTCTTTTCATTAAATAATATATTATTAAAGATGTGTGAAAATTTGAACTTAATCAGTTGAAAATTGTAAAAGTTATTGGTGCGGCCAGCTCCAAAAATATAGTTTTAAAATAATGATTTGATTTCACCCAAATTCAAAGGATCCAGTTGTACAATTTTCAAAAAAAAAATTATTTTGAGTTAAAATTTGATGTTAAATAATAATTAATAAACATTTTGTGTTTTTGTTTAATATAATTAATGGTTTGTTTAAAAAATATAAAAAATAAGAATTTAAAAATAATATTTATTTTAATCAGTGTTTTAAATTGTTTATTTACAAAATGTTAATTAAATTATCTTTTCTATTCAGCAGAAACTTATTTTTGAGCATTTTACATTTCATTCATACGTTGGTATAATGATAATAATAATAATAATAATAATAATTTGTCCAACTCATTCCAACGAAACTAAAGTTCAGATTACAAAATCGAAAATCTGAATGTGTTTTTGGCAGAGAGTCGGAAAGCGCAAGTTTAGTGTGCAATGCGACTCTCGTCTAGACATTCAACCGAGTGGATAATGTACGATCTCGAAAACTTTCTGGTGCGTTGTTCCCTATTTTCTTATTTACTCTCTATTTTTGTAACCGTCGTGTATGGCTCATAAATTTTTAGATTTAATAAAAGACCACGCTATTGCTTTCAGAAATCGTTTTTTTCCTAAATAATAAAATCAATTGAATAAATTTTGGAATTAAAAACGTTAATTAATGATAATAGTGCGTAAATTAGAATTTCAATGATGAAATAGATATTTAAGAAAAAATAAAATCTAGAACAATTTAGTAATATTAACAATAATAAATGAATTCTCAATAATATTCATTAGATTATTATAATTTATTTTTTTCATTTCAATGTATTTTTAAAGGTTTCGTTTAAATGATAAGGAAATGACGCATTCTCGATAAAATCGCATTCTAATTAGCAACAGCCATTAGAAAATACAGAGAGAATATAATTCTTATCTTATATTCAGGAGAAAATAATTCCTTCGAGAGAACAGCCAGTAATTATGTTTAATTTGTTTTTCTCAGAATTGTATATATATAATATTACAAACAAATGATAATTTTATCGCGAGAAAAAGGAAGATTTAGAAAATATATTCATAAGCGTATCTACTTTTGTTGTCATTATTTATTTATTATTTTTTGTTTATATAAACGCTGCCATCTGCGATAAATTAAGAGAAGATGATCACAACCGTATAAAGTATTACTTTTTTAGAGTTTTAAAACTTTTTAACGCGTAAACTTTACAGAATGGAACGACGTCAGGCTATAAAATAAAACCACAACACTTGACAAAGTTAAATTATTCCTTAATTTGGATAGAAAAATAAAATATAAAAAATAATCCTTCTAAGAAAACGTCTTGACTCCAATAGTTTGTATATAGGAATATATATATGAAACTTCAATACTTTATACTCTTGAAGTAAAAAAAAAGTCTTGTTACTTCTTAACTCTTTATGAGCTACTTTATATTCTTCTTGCAAGAATATGCTTATTCGTTTATGTTCACAAAGTATAGTCATAATTTTAATACTTCTACATAATGTAAATAAAGAATATTTTACAACAAAGTGAAACGATTTTTATGACATTGTGCCATGAATTTCAAATAGTTCTACCAATAAGTCCACAGATTTTACATGGAATTTTTTAATCGAAATCTGCAAAACAAATTTTTATATACTATAACGTTTGCTTTATTTTTATATACAATTTTTCTATTAATTTTATTCTAATGGTAATTACTATTTTTCACTTTAATCGCATAACGTTATTTGATTTCTCTATTTTATTATTTATTAAAGACGCCAAGTTATTTTTATCGAAAATAACTAAACCATTCTAATAATGATTAATTTTTAAAGTTTACGCCTGCTGGCTCAGCACGTTATTGCTATATTTACTTTTACATTTGATATTCACTCGCGATCAATTTTAAACAAACATCAAAATTTCTAATTAAACTTCAAATTTATCAATTAAATGCCGATCTGGCTGAAAGATAATTTAATTACAATAGAGACTCACCGTCTAAACGTTGCCTGACCCAGACTGCACCTCGACCAGGCATTTTATTTAAATTTATTACTGACTTTTTCAATTTTTTTGTAACACGAGGTTATACCTCATACACTTCCAGAATGAGAATATTTAAATGGCCGACATTTCACCCTTGTCGGCGTCACTTTTACACGCTTTCTTTTTGCTGGTGAGTCCCAGCGAAAGTAATTAATTGACTTTCTATTTGTCGATAATCAATATATCACGAGTCGATAATTTTTATCGATACCGTTGGTAAGGTAGATCACGACTCTACCAGAGAGCGTAGTGGTGTCCTCAATTCAAAATGGCCGCCCCCATTCTTTTGACAGCTGAGTAAACAAGTGAGTCTTCGTCTTCCTGGTGCTTTTGAATATTCGGGAATCTCATCCGAATATATACACCAGGAAGCACTTCCCTCGTTGTCTTCAATCATTTTCCTCATGTATGAAAACGTCGGTTCAATTTTTGTGCCAAATTTGAGGATTAATTCCGACCAGATGATTGTTTTAAAAAGAGAAGTTTTGGAACAATCAATATAAGAAATTTATATTTTATTTTGATTCAGTGTACGATCTGACGAGTTAGCAGGTTTTCAATTTTCCACTTATTAAATTATTAATTAATATGATGATTTTAGTTAATTATTATATTTTAAGATAATTAATTATTTTTATTGTTTTCAGGGTTTAAATGATTCCTATTCTGGAAATCATCATACAAAACATACAAAATTAAACAAATATTGTGTCGAGTATAAAATGCCTCGTCACAATATATATTACATGGAGAAAAATTTTTTATTCAAATTAAAATTTAATGCTAAAAATATACATATATTTATCTCAGAAGTAAATAATTTTTTGTTTGTTGAATTTAATATTGATTTATAATTATATATAATGTAAATATTTATACATATTTAATAGATTGTAATTTTGAAGGAAAATATTTAATGTAAAAAATACATGAGAATAATGAAGTATTATTTCTTATATAGGCCTTGGTGAGATGATATTTTATATTCCATAAAGTTCTTCGTTAACTAAGCCGTATTCAAAGCAGAAAATATGAAAGCCGTTGGATTTTCCAAACTAAATTTCTTTCTGACCGGAAAATTTTATATAAGTCAAGAGACATATTCTATAGCAGAAAATTGCCTCTCGCAAGGAAAAAAAATATATTGTGTATTGGAAAAATCAACTAAATTCTCTGTCTATTCTTTGAAAATCAACAATTTAGACATATGAGTTGGAAAAATAACTTTAGAAATATAATATACTTTATACTACATATTTGTTCGCTATTGAAAAATAATTCTTTCTTTCATCAGGAATATTTATTAAACAAAAAATAAATTTTTTATACAAATTATATATTTTTGTAGTCGGTAAACGTTTTTTTTTTAAAAAAGATCATTTTGCACACTTCTCATTAAAAAACATTTTTCTCATACTGAAGATTAAATTTTTATACTTAAATTTTATTAATATTTGAAATTAAAAATTATATATTTTAAAATAACATTCAAGCGTTACCTAAATGTGCTACTACTAATAAAATTACTAAAATTAAAGAAGTTTTACTAAACAATTTCTTGTACTATTGTTTTCTTCATTACAGAACATTAAGTCCGACTAAAATAGATTTACAATAATTTAAATGTACTGACTAAATATCTAATTTTACTACTGTTTTTATCATTTGACCTTCTGTTACGTCTCAAATAGAGAAAATAACTAAAAAAATAATATTTTATGTTTATTTTTGTCCGCTCGGTGATTCAGTGAATTTTTCCTGTTTCATTTACAGAGCAGAAGGCTCTGAACTAAAGGTACAGGTAAGAAAGAAAATATTGATTTTTAATGACAAGGTTACAAGTTTATTTAGACAAATATTTAGAGTTATAAAATTGATCTTTGAGAGTGAGAGAGAGAGTATCCTGAAGCAACCAGTCTTTAAAATAAAGGAAATCAGCATTCCACTGCAACAAGGAATGTAAAGGTTACTACAAATTTTCATAAGGAGTTAGGAAAGATTTAGATAAAAAGTATTACTACTTACTTTAAAAATTTAGAAGTAAGATTAATGAAAAAGGACCATTGCTGTGTCTTTAAATATGGGCAGGAATGACTGGTACCAGATGTCGCTTGTGAGCTCACAAGAAGGTTGACGGGCCTTGGTGATGACAACAGATCCAGAGTTTAGTTGACCGTGATGAAAACCCAAATAATGAAATTCTTCCAGAATATGAAGAAGAGATGATTTCCAAATATTATGGGAAAGTCAAAGCCAAAAATACTTGGATTAGTTCTTCTTGACGTAGACACTTTGTATACTTGATACAGTGATTCTTCTAAGTTCAACTTGCAAATTGGGCAAAGTAACAGTACTTCTACAAGATTTCGTATATGAAGTTGACGTGCTGGTACCAAAATCTGAACTGAACTCTACTGGCATAGTGGACTTTTTATATAGGATTTTCACAAAGAGGGAAGACAAATTCTTAAAAGTGGGTTTCATTATCCACTCTCTTAATTAAACAGTGACCATCTAATCGTTGTGGATTAGAGTGACTTCTCTTTTAGATTGCCAAGAATTGCGGTAATAAAAAAGAATTATAGGTAGGCTCTCTTAGTAGAACAATGTACAAAAAACCGATCTCACAGTTTTATTTTTTGAATTCGGAGAAAAATTTATGTTTGGTATAAGTGGAACAATACAGTCCAATCATACAAAAACCGACCTTATGGTTTTTATTATCTAAATTCGATACAATCTTAGGGTGAGCATAAGTGACCTATTACAATGGCGTGAAAGAAAATAAGGGATAATCTATGAGATCATAAATGTTCTTCCGCCTCATTTAATATACTTTTGGTAATACAGAACTTGTTAGAAAGTCAGCCTACTGTTGTGATTGTAGTATTGATTTTATACAAAACAAAGTCAAGAAAAAAATAGCTTTGTTACAAAAATGCAGCTGCAAAGTTTATCAAACATTACGACGTTGTGACACTTCATATCCGAGTATAACTGATTTGTTTTACTTATAAAATTACAAAATAATAAAGTCAGAATAAATTTCTTATTTTATAATTTATTCATCATGTCGGACTAAATATTTACTGGTTCAACAGCGTATGTATGCGATCGTAATCTTTCTCTATTCATTTAATTTTCAAATTGTATATAGAAAAACATTTTTTTTTATTTATAGAAAACTGTAATTATTGTTATTTCAATCGTCACTTTTGTCAATGATTTTGAATTTATTTCGTTAATGCAAAGTTTTGTCGTTTCATCAGAAATTTATATCTCTTAATCTACATCTCAACCCCAACATAACTGGTGTGAATACATTTCCTCAACGAACAAAAAAACAGCTCTTAATTGCTCAGAGGTGTATTTAGAGAAGAGTCGTTAGGAACGTGAGTGTGCGAGAGATTCGATAAAGAATCACTTTTAGTATCAGTGTGTCATAAAAAAATAGGGTAGGCTTTTGTTTTTTTTCCCCATACATAGGTATATAGGGACTTCATTGAAAGTAGGACACCGTCAAAAAGAAAATCTTTATGACTGATTTAAACTACTCTCTTTTAAGAATAATTTAAAAACTCAAGAATAATTTAAATTTCAACACTATATAATTTGTAGAATAAAGTAAAGAGTGTCTTATTTTAAAACATAATAGAGAACAAAAAAATAATAAATAATCAAAAATAGTAAAATAAAATTAAAATATATTTGTAGTAATTAAAATTTATAACTTTTATTATGAGAACTTTAAAATTGCTTTTTTCAATTTATAAAAAGAAAAATTAAGAATTTTGATAAATTCTCAAATTTTAGGACTTTTATATTAATTTTGTTCTTTTGCGACAAAATACAATAGTTTTTAAATTTCTGCAGTTGGAAGCACACGCCAAAACGAATAAGGATATCAGGTGAAAAGTATTATAAAGAAAACTAACATTAAGGAAAGATTGTCAGTCAAGCGAAAGTAATTTCGGGAAATGGAACGTCAGATACCGCTAATGGTGGCAATATATAGAAAAGAAAATCCAGACGTTATTTTTTTTCTCCTCTTTTTTTTACATTTCCATTGGATTCACACTTGATGCGTCGCAAATGATGAAAGAAATAATATATATTTTTGCCGTCAAAATGGATTTCATTGTAAAAAAAAAGAAAATAAATATTCCAAAGTATATTTTAAAATTGACTCAATTGAGGTCTTTAATGAATAATATATTAAATATTCAATGTTAAATAGTAAACATCATCAACTAATTAATTAATTCATGTAATAATTTATACATATGATATTATAATGCAGTAGTATAAATTTCTAATTTGTTGATTGATTTAATTTGTAACCAACAACTGAATCAACATATAGGTATATATATAAACCATGTATGTTTCTCCCCTTTGTAATTAATTTCCCAATATAGCTTATATAAACTATTGACGATCTGTATCAAGAATTTCGCCACATTTTGTTTGAACGTCACTCAATGTCGATAAATTTAACTCGTCATTGGACTTTTCATTGTAAAATAAAGTGTGATGACTCTAATAAATTATTTACATTCAACAACAAAGGTTCAACATTTCTATATTATTTTTCAAATCTTTTGATCTTTTTTTTACCCATTCAAGAATTATTTCTCTTTCGAATTATAGAATAAACAATTTCTAATTACTTAAATATTATTGTTATAAATATTTAATATTTTGATTTTATTTTTAATTTGGTAGTTTATTTTTTTAGTTAAAATTTTTTAACAATTTTTATTATGTATTTTATGACACTGAAATATTTCGTCGTGAATTTTTAATAAATGTCAAATATATTATTCAATATATAAAATATAAGAATGAATATAAAAATTCTTCTTCAGTATATTCACAAGTTGAACATTCCAATGCAGTTATTATGTTCGTTAACGTTAATCGGTGTGAATTTATGGAATTCAATAGCACTTTATCCATGAATATTCATTTGTGAAAAAAAAGTTTCCATGGCATGTGAAAAATGTCATTCGTTTTTTAGACTTCCGAAGGGAAATTACTTTCCAAACGGTGTTTTAATAAGCTTGTATATTCTATATTATATCTTGTTTCACGTATTGTAATATCAAAATTTTTCGCAATCAATTTTTTGATGTATCTTTATGTTTTTTGACCTAAGGAATCCAAAATATTTTAAAAATGCCGTTGTGTGTGTATATACATTACATTTTCATAAATATCTCGAATACTATAAGACCTAAAGGAATAATTTTTTTTAATTGTAGTTCTCACAGGTGAACAAATAATGACTTTGAATTATATGTTAATAAAGATTAACTTTTTTTACATTTAACAAAGTTTTTTAATCGCTTTTTACCATTACTTTAAAAAAATGTATTTATCTTTAGTTTTAAACGATTTTTTATTATGATATATCATCTATTATTGGAAACATCAGCAAATTTCAATGACGTTTTAATAGCCGCAAATGTCCCCTGGATTTGTGATATTATCACCACTACTACAGATTTCCCCAATGATTTTATATATTAATCACATGTCAATTTATAATACCTACTTAACATATATATATATATATATATTCATGCTCTTTAAATTTCTCATTTGTCAATAAATACAACACACACTGTGATGGATTCGTAAATTTAAACAAATTAGAGCTTTATTAATATATATTTACGAAATTTCCTTGTCAAAGTATATAAATTAACAACATTATTAATTTTTAATTTAAGAATATATTGTTAAATATTTAGCAATTACGAAATATTAATGTTCGTAATTAAATTCGTGACGAATATGTAAATATGATCGGTTGACAAATCACAGAGCCAATTAACTCTTTGAACAAAATTGAACTTTCCACATTAATTAGTGGAATAAGCTTTCGTTCGAAAAATATGTTTTTGTTTGTCTTAAAAATAAATTTTTTTTTCAAAATAAATAAATTATTTATATATTATAAATTGAGATTATTTATAAATTGAATTAATTTTTTGATAATTAAAATAATTTTAAAAATTTAATTTCCTCTTTGTACTCTGGTAATATTAATATATGTTTTATTTTATTTTCAATATAAAATGCTTTTAAAATTTCTTTTTATTATTAATACAAATTAATGTAAAAAGAAAATTGCACAATGAATTGAATAAACAGTAATTCAATTTTATTCACGTGACAAGGAGAAAGAGACACGATTGAATGTTGTTAAGAAAAAGAGG